TGGTACGAGTCCGGGGGCACCACCCGCGAGAAGAACTCGTAACGCCCGGGGTCCGACAGCTCCGGGGCCGTGGAGGCGTAGCTGATCTGGGGGATCTGGGGATGGGGGACATCGGGGACATCAGGGACGCTGGGGACACTCACAGGGGTCCAACGACTCAGGGGGACACTGGGGCCATCGGGGGCCATCGAGGTGTGACAGCTCTGGGGCTGTGGAGGCACAGCTGATCTGGGGACCTCGGGGACATTGGGGGGCCACGGGGAGAGGTGGGGGAGGGGAATTGGGGGGCTCAGTGTGGGGCTGTTGAGGTGGGGGGGTCTGGGGACAAGGGGGACACTGAGGCCATTGGGGACGGGGGGGCTCAGGGGACTCGGTGGTGAGGGGCACCCCCCCCACCCCTGTCCCCCCCCCCCCCCCCATCCTTAATCCCCCCTAATCCCCCAGGGCCATTTGCTGCCATCCCAGGGGATTGTGGGAACACCCGGGGAGGGGGGAAGTGAGAGAAGGTTCTGGAATGGTCCCGGGGGGATGAGGGGGGGCAGGGAGGGGACCAGGTGTCCAGGCCCCCCCCCCAAAGGGAAGGGCCATGATGGCAGTGTGGGGACACTGTGGGGACACTGCGGGGACACTGCGGGGACACTGTGGGGACACTGCAGGGATGGTGCTGTCCTGTGGCTCCCTCCCCTGTCCCCGCAGTGTCCCCAAAGCCTCCCTACCCCAAATACCCCCCATCCCCCCCCAGATGACCCCAGCACCCCCCAACACCCCCCAATGCCCCCCCTGCCGCAAACAGCTACAGCACGTTGGCAACCATGATGGACATGGAGGTGGCCAAGGCGCCAATGAGCCCCATGTCCCCAGTGTCCCTTCGTGTCCCAAATGCTCCCCCATGTCCCCCCAACGTCCCTGAGGTCCCCAACGATCCCCCCAAAGCCCCCTGTGCCCCCCCTCACTGCAGACAGCTGCAGCGCATTGGCCACCATGATGGACACGGAGTTGGCCAAGGCGCCCACGACCCCCCACGTCCCCACATCCCCAAAGCTCCCAACGTCCCCCACGTCCCACCAGTGCTCCCCCTGTCCCCCAAAGCCCCCCCGTGCCCGCCCTCACCGCGAAGAGCCGCAGCACGTTGGCCACCATGATGGAGACGGAGCTGGCCGAGGCGCCGATGACGCCCACCAGGCGCTCGGGCGGGGGCCGGTGCGGGACGGAGCCGTCGGGGCAGCGGCCGTCGCCGCCCTCGGGGGGCAGGAGGCTGCGCACGAAGCTCAGCGCCTGCTCCAGGGCGTAGGTGTCCCGGGAACACGTGTCCAGGATGCGGGCGCCCAGCGTCAGGTTGGGCAGCACGCGGGGGTCGCCGTTGACGCGGTCCAGCGCGTACAGCATGGCCTCCAGCCGGTGGATGCCCTTCTCCTTCTTCACCGGCCCGCACGGCACCCCCGCGGGGCCGCGGGCGTGCACCGGGAACAGCCCCCCCAGCGTCAGGTCCCCCTCCAGCCGGATGGCGTGGGGCTGCGTGGGGGCCGGGGGGCAGTGCCCGGGGGGCAGCAGGGCCAGCAGGGCCACCGTGGGCATCACCAGGGTGGGCAGCGGCAGAGACATGGCGGGCTGGGGGCGGAGGGGGGGTTAGGGGGCACTGGGGGTGCAGGGGGTACCCCACGGGGTGGGAGTACCCTGTGAGGGGTTGGGGGGCACTAGGGGGTGGGTGGGCAGCACCCTATGGGTGGGGAATGGCACCCTATGGGGGCTTAGGGGGCACTGGGGGGTGCAGAGGGTGCCCTGTGGGGCTGGGCTGGGGCCGAGGGACAGCGCCTGGGGGGCCACAGGAACAGGAGGGTCACCAGGAGGGGGCTTGGGGGGGGACAGAGGGGGGTTATGGGGGACTCTGGGAGGGTATCCGGGGGTTGAGGGGTGATGGGGGGCACTCTATGGGGTGTGGGGGGGTAACGGCACCCACTGGGGCAGGGGGCGCACCCTATTGGGGGCAGGGGTCACCCCATGGAGCGGGGGGCAGCACCCTATGGGGGGGGTCCCTATGAGGTGAGGAGAGAGGGAATGGCACTCATTAGGTTGAGGGGGCACCCCCTGGGGGGGCTCTCTGTGGGGTGTAGGGGGGGTAATGGCACCCGTTGGGGTGGGGGGGACCCCCGATGGGGCAGAGTGGCCCCCAATGTGAGGGGCAGCTCCCCCAGGGGCTGGGGGGGGTCAGGTCCTCCCTCGGACAGAGATCTGGCGTCCCAGCCCCCACGGGGGGTCCCGGTGCCCCCCTCCCTGCTCACCTGGGCCGTGGGTGCTCCAGGTCCCTGCGGAGCCGCCGGTGAATGAGGGGTGGGGGCGGCCCCTGCCCCGGCCCCCCCGAATCCTCCCCAAAATCCCCCCTCCAGCTGCTGATGGGGAGGAGCAGCCCCCCCCCCTCCCGCTTTGGCTGAACTCCCACAGTCCCCTGAGCCCCCCAATTAAACCAGATGTTAATTATTGGGGGGGTGGAGGGGGGTTTGGGGTGTCCCCCCCAAACCAAGGGGACCAGGGGGTCCCATTGATGGGCTGAGCCCCCCGAGGGGTTTGGGGGAGGTTGGGGGGGCCGTGGGGGCCCTTAATCCCCCCCAGCTGCTGGATTAGGGGGGGATGGCGGGGGGGATAATCCACTGCTCGGCTGCAGCCGGGACCCCCCCGGCGGGGGGGGACACACGGGGGGGACACGGGGGACTTCGGGTGGGCTGAGGGGCCCTGAGGGGACCCAGACGGGGTTTAAGGGGACGCTGGGGAGGTGAGTGGGATATTGGGGGGCTGTGGGGCACATTTGTATGGCTGAGGGGGCCATGGGGGCTACAGAGGGGTCTGGGGGGCACAGTGGGGGGGCTGAAGGGGGGGGGTTCTGAGGGCACTGAGTGGGACACTGGGGGGCTTTCGGGACGTTTTTGGGGGTCCTGAGGGGACACGGGAGGGTCAGTGCGTCCCGGGGAGCTCTGTGGGTGCCGAGGGGTCCCGTTGGGTCCCAGGGGGCTCTTGGGGGGCCACCGGGGGGGTCCCGGTGGGTCTCGGGCCGGGCGGGGCCGTTCCCGCCAAAACGCCGCCTCAGCGCTTCCCGCGGCCGTGCCACGCCCCCCGGCGGCAGACCACGCCCCCAAAAGACCACGCCCCAACCAGGACCACGCCCCCACCGAAACCACGCCCCCTGTAATAACCACACCTCCGCATCGCTAAGCCCCGCCCCCGACCAGGCCCCGTCCCCGCCGCGCTTTCCGGCCTTTTCGCGACTCCCCCGCTCCCTTTACGGCCGCGCTGAAGTTTTACGACCGTCGAGGTGAGGGAACGGGAATCCTGGGGGGGCTTGGGGGTCCCGGGGGGTCTTTGGGGGGGAGTTTGGTGTCCCTGAAGAGGGTTTGGGGGTGCGGCGGACCCGGGGGGTGGGCAAGAAAGGAAGGGGCTCTGAGGGGGATGTTGGGGGGCCCTGGGGGTGTTTTGGGGGGTTCTTCCCCACCTTTAATCCCCTCCTGCCTGTCCCAGGGGCCATGGCTGGGGCAGAGCGGGACCGGCGAGGGGCGGCCGAGGAGGAGGAAGAACAGGAGGAGGAAGAAGAAGAAGAGGAGGAAGAAGAAGAGGAGGAGGAAGAGCAGGAGGAAGAAGAAGAAAAGGAGGAGGAAGAGCAGCAGGAGGAGGAGGAAGAAGCAAAGGAGGAGAGTCCCGAGGGCTCTCCCCCCGCGGCCGAGGCGCCCCCCGGGCCGCCCCCCAAGCCGGTGGTCCCGGGGGTCCTTTACTTGTCCTTCCTCCCCCCGGGGTTCGGGCCCCGCCAGGCGCGGGCGCTGCTGCGGCCGCACGGGGAGCTGGGGAGGGTCTTCCTGCAGCCCAAGGGTGAGTCCGGGGGGTCCTGGGGGGACTCAGGGTGTCCCTGGGGAGGTCAAGGGGCCCCATCGACCCCCTGGAGGTACAGAAATGGGGGCTGGGGGCTTTCAGCCCCCCTGGGTTGGGGTCTCTCCCCCCCCCCCGTGTGCTCTGACCCCCCCGTCTTCCCCACCCGCAGGAGGGTCTGTTCGGCGGCGGCGGCAGCGCCCGGGGGGGCCCTCGGGGGGGTCCTTTGCCGAGGGTTGGGTGGAGTTTCGGGACAAACGAGCGGCCAAACGAGCGGCCAAACTCCTGCACGGGACCCCCATGAGCGCCCGGCCCCGCAGCCCCTTCCGCGAGCAGCGCTGGAGCCTCAAGGTGGGCAACGGAGGGACTGGGGGGGCTGGAGGGGGCGGGGGGGGCACCTCAAAACTACGGGGGGGGGGGGGGGGGGGGGGGGGTTGGGGTCCCTCCCAGGGGGGGTGTATTTGGGGGGCCCTTCCTGGACACCCGGGTGAGCACAAGGGGGGATGTGAGGGCACCCCTAAACCTTATGGGGGAGGTAGAGAGGGTTTGAAAGGGGGTCCCCTGACTCCTCCTTTATCCCCCTACTCCCTGCCGAGGTTCAGGGCTATTTAGGGATGTTTTGGGGGGTATCTGGGGGGTGGTTTTGGGGTATTTTAGGGTGGGTTTGGAGGTATTTGAGGTGATTAATTGCCTCTCCCCCCCCGCAGTACCTGCCCAGGTTTGGGGGTGTTTTGGGGGGCGTATTTGGGGGTGTTTTGGAGGTATTTGGGGTGATTAATTGCCTCCCCCCCCGCAGTACCTGCCCGGGTTCCGCTGGCCCCACCTGAGCGAGCGCCTGAGTTACGAGCGCCAGGTCCGGGCCCAGCGGCTCCGGGCCGAGGTGGCCCAGGCCAAGCGCGAGGGGGGGTTTTACACCCGCCGGGGCCCCCCCCGGGACCCCTCCGAGGACTCCAAGGGCTCCACGAACCCCCCCCGGCCCTGGGGCTTCACCCAGAGACCCACCGAGGAGGAGATTTGGGGGCGCAAAGCTCAGCCCCCCCCGGCCGCGCCCCCCCGGCGGCTGCTGCAGAAGGTGTTTGGGGGAGGGGGGGGGCTGAGACCCCTCGGCCCCTCCCCCACATCCAGGCTCACCCCTCGACGACCCCCAAACCTCCGTTTATTCTCCTTAAAACTTTTATTACTTTTAACAAAAATAATTCTTCGCGGTCTCTTTAATTCTGCTGAGGGGGCGGGGCCAAGGAGGGGGCGGGGTTATGGCTTCGGCGCGAATCCCTGAAAGCAGCGCGGGGGGCGGGGCCAAGGGGTACAGACCACGCCCCTCCTCCATAGAACGGGGCGTGGCCTGCAGGGTCACAGCAGGCGGAAGACACGCGTAGGTGGGGCCTAGCCCGAGGGGCGGGGCTTAACTGAACCACGCCCCCACCTTAAAGGGGCCGCGTAACAGGCGGGGTCAACCTTAAACCTCTATGGGGTGGGGTCTTAAAGGGGCCGCGCCCCCAATTCCGGGGGGGGGCGGTTCCAGTGTCAAAAATAGAAACTCTGGGGGTGGGGGAGGGGCCCCAGTTTGGCACTGGGGGGAACTGGGGCAACAAAAGAACTTCTGGGGCCCCCTAAACCTGATGTCCCCAAACTGGGGTGGTGGGGGGGAACCCCCAAAAAAACGGGTGCTGGGGGCACCCCAAAATCCCTGGGAAACCAAACGAGGGGTGGTACCGAGGGGTGGTACCAAACTGGGCCCCCCTCCCAAACGTGGGGTGGTGCCACCCAAAAATGCCACTTCTGGGGTCCCTCAGCCTTGGGGTGTCACTGGGGGAGGGGCTGGAGGGAGGTCCCCAAAATGGGGGTGTCACCCCTTTGGAGTCCCCCTGACCCCCACAGGAGGGTCCCGGATCCCACAGAGGGGATGGGGGTTCAACCTTAGACCCCCTCAGGGACCCCCAGTGCCCCTACCACACTCCCTCCAGGTCCATCCCCAAATGCACTCCCCATCCCAAAGGTGCAACACCCAAATCCTCCCCCCTGCCCCCACATCCCTCAGCCTTTGCTCCCCCCACTTTCAGCTCCCTTGTTTTCTTCCCCCTCCAAATTTCACCCCTCCCCCATTCCCTTCACCCCAATTCCAATTCCTTCCTCTATCACTTCCACCTCCCCCAATTTCAGTTCCTTTCCCATTTGCCTCCCCCAACTCTGTGCCCACTTTGCCCCTCCCCCAGAGATCCACCTTCCCAATTTATTCCCCGGATTCCTCCCCCCCCAGTCCCCCCTCCCCCCAAATCCTCTCCCTCCCTTTGGTCCCCCCTCCCCAATCCCCCCTCAGTCCCCCCCCGTGGCCAGGCAGGGCCGGCAGCAGCGACCCCCCCTCACCAGGACGTGGCAGCGGGGCCCGGGGGGGGCCCCCGGGGGGGCCGGGGCAGGGCCCGTAGGCCTCGAGGTCGCAGAGCAGCTCCACGAGGTCGAGGACGGAGCGCAGGGGGGGTCTCCGGGCCAGCACCTCGTGCCCGGGGGGCACCGGCCGCCCCCGGGCCACCAGGACGCGGAAGGCGAGCCCGGGGTTGAGCAGCACGGCGGCCGCGGCCATGGGCGAGCGGGGACAGCGCTGCACCAGCCGCAGCCCCCGGCCCCCCCCCCGGGCCGCCCCCCACCACCCCCCAGTGCGCGGGGAGGGGGATCTCCAGCAGCTCCTCCAGGAACGAGCCCGGCCAGGGCGGGGGCGGCGCCGGCGGCAGCGGCAGCGGCTGCGGGAGGAGGGGGCAGTGGGGAGGGGGCTCCCAGGGAGGCTCAGGAACCATCCCAGACAATGGGACCCCCCAAAACCATGAGGAACACCCCGAGAGCACTGAGACCCCTTCGGGAGACCCCCAAGAGCCTCAGAATCCACCCCCCCAGCCACGAGGACACCCCCTCTTTGAGACCCCTCCTAAAGCCCTGAGAATCCCCCCAAGAGTCCCCTCCCCAGTTCACCAAGACCCCAAAAAGCTCCCCCAGTAAAGGTCCCAGACCCCCTTCCTCCACCCCCTCCAAGCCCTCAGAGTCCCCCTAAGACACCCCCACCCCACTCCCACGCACCCCCCACGACCCCATAAGAGCCTCAGGACCCCCTCAAGTTTCTTGAGACTCCTCCTAAATTCTGCAACCCCCCCAGTACAGGAACAGCCACGTGAGACCCCCCCCACCCGTGGGACCCTCCCCCAGCCCAGCAGCCCCCCTCATCCTCACCACTCGGCATCCTCCCTCCTCCTCCTCTTCCTCCTCCTCCTCACTCTCACTCAGCACCACCAGTGGGGCCGGGGGAGGCCGGGGGGGCACCTAAGGGGTGGAATTGGGGTGAACCCAGGGGTCTGGGGGGTCAGGGAACCCCCCAAACTCGGGGTGCCCCCCCTTACCGGCACCAGGGATGCGCTGGGCTGGGGCTGCTCCTGCTTCACGCGGGGGGTGGCGGCGATCAGGACCCCCAGATCCCCGGGGGGGGGCTGCAGGGGGGCAGGGACGTTACTGGGGGTCCCCCAGTACTGGGGGTACCTGGGGAAGGGGGGAGGGGTGCAGAGGGTCCCACTCACCGGCGGGGGGGCCACGCTGGGCTCCGGGGGGGCCCCTTTGAGCCGGGGGGCTGAGGCGATGAGGAGCCCCAGCCGGGGGTCTTGGGGGGCAGGGGGGGTCGGTGGGGGCCCCCACATCTCCAGGGGGGGTCCCAGGCGGCCGGGGGGTCTCACCTCGAGGCGCGGGAGGGGCCCCACCTCCTCCTTGATGGGACAGAGGCGCAGGGGGGGCCCTGGGAGGGGTCCAGGGCCCTGCTCAGGCCCCCCCAGAGGGTCCTCCTTGACCTGTGGGGGAGGGGTACATCAGGAACTGGGCACCCAGGTATCCTGTAAGGACACAGCCCCCCCCAAAGGGACCCAGGTGTCCAGGGGGGAGCCCCCACCCCACGGGGAAACTGAGGCACGGACAAGCCTTGGGGTGACGGGGAGTCCCAGGTGCTTGGGGATCCCCAAAATCCCCCCCAGACTCCCCTCCTGGACATCTGGGTCCCCCCCCCGACGCCTGGGTCCCCCGAGGGGGGGTCCGTGCAGACAGAGCAGCAGAGCAAGCACAGCAAGGCGGGGGGCAAATTGGGGGGGAGAGAGATGGGGGGTGGAAAGACTTAGAGGATGAGGGTATCTGGGGGGGTGAGGAGCGTTTTGGGGTCCCCCCGGACAGAGGGGGGGTCCCGTTACCTGGCGGGGGGGGCGGGGCGGGCGGCGGCTCCGGGCGGCGGCGTGGAGGGGCCGGGGGGGCCGGCGCCGGCGGGGCCTGGACGGGGGGAGGGGGCGGCCTCTCCAGGGGGGCCCCCAGCGACCCCCCCACACCGGCAGCAGCCGCCTCTGCGCCAGGAGAGAGACCTCAGTGGGCGGGGGTGCACCCCGATTTGGGGAGCATTGGAAGGGGGCAGAGGAACAACCCCCTCAGGGAGACCCAGGTGGCCAAGGAACCCCCCCTTCCCCCCAACAAAGGGACCCGAGGTGAGCCCCCCCAAAGCCAAGCAATGCAGGAAGGACCCAGGCGTCCAGGAGAGCCCCCAAAACAGGATCCAGGCATCCAGGAGACCCCCCCCAGAAGAGGACCCAGGCATCCAGGAGAGCCCCCAAAACAGGATCCAGGCATCACCTGGGTACCAACCAACTCCCCTCTTTCCCCTCCAGCTAGTCCATACTGGTCTGAACTGGTCCCACCCAGCACTGGAGGGGTTGGGGCAGCCCCAGCCTTGCTCGTGCCTCAGTTTCCCCAGACAAAGGTGGTGGGTGTTGGGGAGGGGGCAGAGGGGCTGTGGCTGGGGGCTGCTGGGAGGCACTGGGATGAAGCAGGGGCGGGCACCCACCATAGCACAGCGCAGGCACTGCCTCCAGCGGCACTTCTGGCGCTTGAGGTTCTGCCCCCCGAACTTGGGCTTGTCCTGGCAGAAGTCGCAGCGGCCGCAGTCGGCCGGGCGCCGACAGGCCGCACACACCCCACAGCGCCGGCTGGCCCTGCTCCTCACCCCCCGCTGGGGAGAGAGAGGGGTCACCCGGGACCCCCGGAACCCCCCAGGGCCCCGCCAGGGCTGTCAGTGCGGGAACGGCTGTTAGGAGCGTTACGGTAGTGGGGGGCGCAGTATTAGGGGCATTACGGCAGCCAAGCACCAGCAGCAGGTTAGGCTGAAGGCACAGAGGGAGGAAGGAGCAGCTATTAGGGGCACTGGGCTCTCTGGGCCCCAGTAGACAGGGCATTACAGTATCTGCACCCCACTATTACAATCTCTCAGATCCCAACATTATGTCTGCAACACTTATTAAGGACATTACGGTAACTAAACACCCTATTAACGGTGTCATGGTACCTAGCCCCACTATTAGGGGTATTATGGTACCCCAATCACACCGTCAGCCATGGACCAGACCCTGAGGTGGGACCTGGCCCCAGCATCAGGGGTATTACAGCAGCCACACCCCACTGCTTGTGGGGTTGGAATGCACTGCACCCCAATATTCACCCTAGAAACAGCTCATAGAATCATTACGGTACCTGCACCCCACTATTCAAGGGCTTGAACCCCAACATTAGCACTGGCACAGCTATCAGGAGCATTACAGCACCTGCACCCCCTGTCCCAATTTCTCTGTGCCCCACTATTAAGAACATTACGGCTCCCTGCCCCTAGTAGCTGCACCGGGGAGGGGCCAGGATTGGAAGGGGCGGGGCCAAGGGCTGTGGGCGTGTCCGAGGGGGCGGGGCCAGGGGCTGTCACTCACCCGGGGCCCGGGGGGCTTCGGGGGTCGGCCAGGTTTCTTCTTCTCCTTGCCCTTGGTCAGCGGCTTCTGGGGGGAGAGGGGGGTCAGTGGGGGCCCAGGGGGTCTGGGGGGGGCCCGGGGGGGGCGGGGGGGGCCCAGGGGTGTCTGGGGGGGCCCCACTCACCTTGTGCCTGGTGCTGGGGTTGTCGCTGGGCTCCTGCTCCATGGAGGGCTTCCACTTCTGGGGGGGAGATAGGGGTGAGGGAGAAACACGTGGGGGTCCCGGCCCTGCCCCCCCACCAGGGGTCCCACACTCACCTCCATCAGGGCCTGGGGGA